AAATTTTCTAGGGATTCGCAGATTTTATCCCCACACACTACCAGTAACAATGTTTAAATGTCTTTTAAACCTTTTGTCACATGTATTTCTGTTCACATGCGGCTTAACCGGGCATTAAAAGATACCACAATAAAAAAAAAAATGAGAAAAAAGAATAAATTAAAAAGTGAGCTTAGAGGAAACAGGGGTCGTTTTTATTGATACGGGAAAAAAACGCGACAGTAAATAAACGCAAAGAAAGAACAATAAGATAGGAAACATGATTCCAGAACAGTAAACCTGTATGATTAATTTATCACTCGTTTCAATGTAGGGCAAAGTTAACGCAGTATACTCTGCCGGGGATTCCCTTATTATTGTGGAGGCTATGCCTCCCCAATGTTAATACCATTTGTCAAATCTTACTGCCGCGGTAATCAGGTCAAAAAATAGTACCTTGATTTTTTAAACTGACTCATCACTCATCACGGACATTAACAATTATGAATTATTAAATATGAAAATGTTTTTCATTCTTTAACTTCATATCTGCAATTTTTAAAGATAATAATTCTCTGAAACAATTGTTTATTATTTACAAAATCACTACTCCGTGACGTCATACTGCCGCGGTAATCAGGTTTAGGCATACGGACGTTGGTCATAAGTAGTTCTGGTGTGAAAACCCTTCTATATAATAACTTTATCAGTATTTTTTAACAAAAAGCATAAATGAAAATTAATAAGTATATGCTTTAATTTGGTGGCAAATATTCTTTATAATTTTTTTATAACAATTTTCCTATTACTACGCAACGACCAACTGTTTACGACGGGTCATTAACTAGAACGTTACAACACCGTATTCTCAATATCATGCATGTTCTTTTGTTGTTATAAACGATTAATATTCCTTAATATTTTTTGTAAAGAGAAATGATTGTAAACTGTGGCTTACATCATGCTTGCGTGATAACAAAGGAAAACTAACTTATTAGTACACCCTAGGAGGTTGTACGCGGAAAACGCTCATAAACCGCTATATAATATAGCTGTTAGTAAATACTTTGCATACATTTAACTAAAAATTATCTGATGGTGATGAACATATAGTTTTAAAACATTATATTCTTGAACCATTATCGCCGAAAAATCTATTTAACTATAAACCCGTAAGGACCCTCCGACAAAATTTCAGCACACGATTTAATTTTACATTAGCAAAATAAAAAAAGCAATATTTATATTTTCATCTTACATTATTCATTAATCAAAGTTTTTAACATAAAAGTATCTTGTAAAAATATGTCTGGCAATTGACAGATCCCTACTCTGATCTTTTATTTGTATAGGAATAAATTTAAACATGTGCTCTTTTGTTTAGGAATATTTTGTAGTGAAAGTCTTAATATACCCACAAATCTCAAAATTAGAATAAGACAGGTCAGGGATTTATACAACCAGTTGTTTAGTTAACTACGCTCATTTTAATCCCAATAGAAACATTCAAATATTTGGGGTAAAAAACATGACCAAAGTACCTAGTAGTTGTACCGGTGGTGATCCCATTAAACTGATTATAGATTCGAATTGATTAGAAAACACAAATAGAAACATGTGTTTCCGTACAACAAAAATCGGAAGTAAAGTGAACAGATAAATGACAGAAATATGTGGTCAAATATGTTTTAACAAGGTAATAATTTTTTCAGAGAAAGACGCAAAGATCAGTCTTCAATGAAATGAACGTATTGTGTAATTAGAAAGTTTATTCAATTCTAGGGCAACGGATCATAATTTGATAGTCCATGTGTAATAAAATTTTCAATACAGATTATGAGATACAAAACAAATATTAAAGAATAAGAAGCTTTAAAAATGAAAAAAAAAGAAAAGAAAAAAACGCATATATTACGAATGACTTACAGTCGAGCATCGGGAAGTCATTAACATATCTTACGAAACTTTAATTTGAAAACGATATTTGCGCGCGCTGAAGTGATTAAAGTTTATTTGAAAAATGAAAAAAAAGAACTTATATGTTTGTGTTCTAAAAATAATCGGCGGCATAAGAGGAATTTCGTATTCATTTTACAACACCTGAAAAATTACTACAGAAATTTTTTTTTCTTTTGTTTTCAACAAAAGTCTGTGTGTTTTAAGTTTATTTATACTCGGCGCCGGAATAACCATATGTCCGAGATTATAGCATCGGGGACGTCTTTTCAAGCAGAATCTTCGTTTCATTCTTCGTTTGTTGGTGGTTAAGGAGACGACAATACTGTCAAGGCATCAACTCTGACTGACGACAACAAAAAACGGCATTTATTAGTGCCAAACCTCCAGAGTAAGTCATGACATGTCAACCAATCACCTCTGGTACTTATGATGACTTGACCATGACCTTCCGTGTGCCTTCTCCGTGACGTGCACGCCTCTGGAGGGTTTTGGAGAATTTCAACAAAAACTTCCAAAACACGCCATTTATAACACCATTAATAGCACTAACGCTTCGATGTTCTTATCTATTTGCGGAAAATGGTCGACAGGGAAAACCCTACGTAATAACCGCAAACCCTGTTAACAACAGATTTTCCGCAGTATATATTTCAAGCTAGTGAGGTTTAAAACTACACGTAGAATCTATCGATTAACTAGAGTGTTGGCGGTAAAAAAAAAGAAGATATAACTTCCTGATCAATTTTCACTTAGGTTGATTCAATTTTGAATAAGCTTTGCAGATCGTCGTGCTAGTATTATAAGGTCCTATCTCCATTTTCATGAAAATTGAGTATGATATACCACTGGATTCAGAATTAAAAGATCTATCTCCAGGTGGTTTCCATTTATGTATGAGGTTACCCTGCTTGATATAATAGCATGTATATCATTTTCCATTTTCGAAAATAATAGTTGAATTAATTATTATGTTGCTCTATGTCCATGAGCCAATCAGTGATTGTGTGTGAGGTCATGTGACAGATTTTGCTTTGTCAAAAAGCATTGACACCATCGCTTAAACCAGCTGCCAGAAGTAAGTTAGTTTTTTAGTATCATATTTGATAAATTGCTAGGAAATATTAACAGTAAGTCAAAGCAAAACCTTTAATTCTTTTAAAAGAGATAATGCCATTATAAATGGTTACCGCCTTTAAAATATAAATGGTTATAAACACTACTCCTGGAGATAGGGTATTGTAATTCTAAAGAGAATTTTTTTTATTTTGTTTTAATATTTTCAAAAACATGGCAATAAATAGAAGGCAGTGTTGTTTAAGGCTAATGTTCTTATTCTGAAACATTTTTAATCATCTATTTGAGTTATCAAAAAAAAACTAATAAGGTATCGTGAAAAAAGTCGTTATAAATTTCATAAAATATAACTTTTGAACTATGGATATATTTGGATGATTGAATTTCGGAGATAGTTGTTGTTTCTTGTTTTAATATACTGTCGTCTATATAACCAACTGTTGTTGAAGCATAAGATACTTTAATTGTTTCAGAGATTAGAGTGTGTTTCATTGAATGCAGATGCCAGAACATATACTAGTGTTTATTTTGTGATTTCTTCCATTAGAATTTTTACTTGACAGTGTTTCACTAACATGTTAAAGACTCCAAAACCGCGCATTAAATGTTTTTGCCTTTTATGAGAAATTTTGAATTTTCTTCTCCATTTAGCTTAAACGATAGAGGCATCCACAATACTTTCCAACATGCTCGTGGGCTTAAACTATTTTTAATTCCATGGATATCGAACATTTAAACTTTACCAATGAGTTTAATTCTTACTTCGATTAGATTTCGTCATCAAATACTGTCAATTACTAGTATATATTTTTTCTCATGCAAATGTTATCAGGTGAACAATCAAGTTCCTTTAAAACTTTGTTTTATTTTCACTCTTATTGGTAGAAAAGGAGGATCACATATAGTTTAAAGAACTTATTGCAAATGCTTACATTGACTGTTCCCTTCATAGTTTTCAAAATGAGTAAAGTTTTTTTTTCAGGTGAAAGAAGTTTTTGCAAATCCTCCAATCTATAATTATGTTTTTGTAGTATGTGCTGCCTATTAAATTGTGACATGAGTTGTTGCATTTTTATTGTAAATCTATCGAGGGCATTTTTTAACATTTTGGTCTTTTTAACAGAGAGAGAGAGAGATAAAATCAAGAATTAATTCAAGACAAAGTAACAGATAAACATGTTAAAATTTCCATTTTATCAGAGAGTTGATTTTATATTCAGTTTTTGTCTGTAACTAAGTGAATAAAGTGTTTTTGTTCGTTAACATTGCAGAATTTGTTTAGGCTGGAAAAACTATTGCATAATAGATTCTAGTTATTGTTATATGATAAATATTTAAAGTGATTCTGTTGAAATCTTTTGTAAAAATCACATTGCAGGTAAAGTACAAGTAGCTTATTGCGATCTATTACAAAACTTGTATGTTACTGATGCCTACAGGTGAAATAATTTATTAAAATTTATTTCTTTGTCACAAGTTATATCAAAATGTGTATCTGAAAGATAAAAATACAATTATTGACAAAAATTTTAAGTTTTTTTATACAAATACCATAATAATCCTATTTGTTTTCATTAAAATTGAACATATTTATTAGTTTTAAAATATCCTATATCCTAGTTCATACTATCCTGGGCAGTTTTAAAACGCTCCGGGTGCAACATAATTCTAAGCTTCCGGCAAGTACAAATAAGCAAAAAGCTCTATCTCAAAATGAAAAATCCGGTTTTAGAAAATATCTCTAAAGATATCGTGTAAAATCTTTGTTTGCAAGTTATGATAGAACATATTAATGATTCATTCAAAAAATCTCCATCATTACATGGTCCAGTAACATTTTTCTGTTAACTAAATTTTAAAGCTTGATTTCCCGCAATGTTACATAATGGCACTTAGGACCTTATTATACTAGCACGACGAGATATGTATTTTTTTCAAGAAATATTTAGCTTTCATATTATCCGACGCTGTCAGTAATGAAATTGGAATAATTTTCTGAAATGTTATTTTATTCGAGAATACAACTTTCTGTCCGTAGAGCATGAATAATAATACTTATCACAAGACAGTATCTTATTGATCTCAATTATGGTACATGTAAATGTGTATAATTTTTAATGTCCAATAAAACATTTGCGTATCTTGCAGTTGTTATTATCATTCAATAATATTAAAATGACATAAAGTTTTTATGAATATTTTGATAAGGAACCGTCAGTTGTAAAATATTATTGTTATCTTATAATGAACAGTCGTCATACATGTTGATATGTCATTCATTATTGACAGTTTAGGTTTTTCAAAATTTGCATGATTAACAGTCCAATTGTAGACCTCAATGAAATGTTCTGGTATATTAGCAAAATGAATAGTCAATCATATTAACCATATATATGAATGGTTGAACACAACAGTAAGGATAAAAAGCGCAATGTGCATATCTTCTTATTTTGGTTATAATTGAAATAAAAGCACATTTTAAGCAAAATGAAAAGAAACTAGAAGTCTGAAACATTCTGTCATAGCCTCCCGAGCAGTACATTCAGTGCTTTGATTATTTTCGACATTCCCCCTTGTGTAACTCCATTTCCTGAAACAAACAATTTTTATAATAGATAACGCATTTCAATGGAATGAACATGGTTCTCATATCAGGTACTTTCAAAAACGGGAGACTGTTTAAGTTAATACTTCAAGCTAAGGTGCCAATATTTAATATATTTTTTGTAATACTGGAGGGTTTTTTTCATAATTAAAGGTTAATTATCAAGGACCATCGCTCTATTACGTCCTAAAATGTGTTGTTTACACATTTTAAATATTACTAAATAAATATAAGAGATAACCACCAACAAAAATATTTTTTACTTGTTTGGTGTTAACACTTATCTCCTTGGTTGTAATATCATTTATTGCATTACTAAATCCTTCACAATATAACTTACCTCCCTTAGGTGTACTAAACTTTATAGTATTACTGGGGTCCGAGTCAAAATGGATGTTTGAAACGACAACTTCAGCTTCGAGGTCAGTGTCAAATGGAAGATTAACAATTTTTGCAGTCTCTGTCATAGTCTCTGTGGTGTTGCCATTCAACGCTTCATCAAAATCACTGCTGCATGGGATGATGCTCTCGTCGTTCACAAAAAATATATTTTCCGTTGTATCTCGTTCACCAGCCTTCCAGATACGAATCTGTTAATGAACAGAAGTTTGGTTGCTATTTTGAAACCATTTGATTTTGAATAACAAAATTTGAGCAAATCTTTAATAAGAATTTTTGCGCGACGACTTTATCATCACACATTGATTTCATTTCTACTGTTATTTGTTATACTACAAACATATCTACTTTTGCTATTTAAATATTGTTTAATTTATATTTTGTATTCCTTATAAACAATTATATGCAAAGAATGCATCAAGAAAGATTAGGTGAAAGTGAGTATTGACACAAAGACTGAAAAATTGCGGTTATATAAATGTGTATTATATCACATTAAACACACACGGCTAACTTATTACGATTTAAAGTTCAATCTGTAAAACCACTGTATTAAAGCGTGACAAAATATGATATCTTAAACTAAATGTTCATTGTTTATTTTACCTTGTAACTTTTGAATTCCCCTTGCATCATTTCAGGAGATAAATAAACCGGATCCCACTGGAAACATGCAGCGTTCTCTTGCAGGGAGACAAGTTCGAAGTTGTGTGGCTGTACTCTCGGTACTATATAAAATATATAAAAGAGACACTGAAGAAAAATATTTGCAACTTTCTGTGACTGTTGTATGTCTCAAAATAGCTTTAGCTACCAAGCGGTGTCTCTATCCGTTTTGTTTGTTTATTTTGTTTTCTTTTTGGGTTATTTTTGTCCGTAATGCTTTGCATTGTTTTCTTTATGCCTGATTTAGAACTTATTCAAAATTAAAAAAAATAAAAAATTAATTTTCCCCCAGTCATTTTAAAGGGATAAAAGAAAGGGCAAACTGGATGAGAAAATAGCGAAAAAATTTAAATTTTGATTCGTAATAAAAGAATATGAAATGCAAATGGCGAAAATACTATCTAAAAGTGAACAATGATTTTTCGTGTTTATGGTCTTATAGTACTTTCCCATAAACTAGTCATAAATGCAAGATATCGATAGCAGACTACAGATGGCCTAGACAAAGAACTGTAGTGAATAAATTACACCGACAGCAGTTTATAAAGCATGAACATTTATTTACCAGCCTCTCCAGAATGTCCATCGTGTATTTTAACTGGGTCAGTGCAATCTCCAAAAGCATTTCTTGCTTGCACAAAAATTTCAACCGGTTGATAGACTCCATAGTATGGCATCCTATACTCATCTTGAGTCCAGTCCTCAATACGGTTCATAACATTCATGCCAGATTGGTCTCGGTACCCAAGGAGATATCCAAAACCCACGCCGTTGTGTTCAATCTGAGGCATTACCTTAAAGTAAAAGGCAAATACAGAAAGTTATCGTTAAGAAAAGGGCAACAACATCAAATGAGCTTAAAAGAAAAAGTAATAACAGAAAATTACATCGAATGAAAGAAAAGGCAAAAGCAGAAAAATGCCTTTACGGAAAACACAATTTTAGAAAAATACCTGAAACGAAAGAGCAATTATAAAACTTTAACGCGGAAGATATAGCAAGAAATAAAATTACATAGAAGAAAATAGCAGTAACTGATAATTACCTCAAAGGTAAAGGAATCACAGAAATGCATTGAAGGAAAGGGTAATTACAGAAAGAATTGCGAAATGAAAGTGCAAGAGCAGAAAAATACCTCGACGGAAAGAGTGAGAACTTATCAATATACCTAAAGGGACAGAATTACCTGGCACAGAACATCACTTAAAAGAATAGAGCAAGAACATGTACTACCTTTAATGAAAGAGCAAGAACAGGAAAATATCTTGAAAAAAAGCAATAACAGAAAATTACCTTGGAGGAGAAATTTCAAAACTTAAAAAGAGTAATTACAGAAAAAGGATACATTTGCTAAATAGGGGTGTGTGGCATGTTTAGATAAAATTTACTTCATCCCTTATTCATTGGGATTTAAAAACGTTCTAATTACTAAATGAAAATAGGAAAGACCGGGAAAGTGCTTCAAAAGCAAAGAAATTAAGTTAAATTTCTTTCTGTGCAATGCGACCTCATAATTTTTCAAGAATGTAATCTGGCGTCAAAAGACATTTTTCTAAAATATTTATTAGCATTCTTCAAGAAAGTAGATATGTATCTCATTACATTTTACACCTACGGAAATAGCTTTTTGTATAAAATAATAGTTATGATCATAAAACATTTTCTAGATTGATATACGTATGCATAGAAGGAATGTATGAGTAACACGGGTCAACTGAATGCAGTTTCTTCCCTGGGGACTGTTATGATAACTCATAATGATTACCATAAAATTATAAACATCATTAATGTGCAATGCTTGGTGATTTTATTTCTTTCTCTTTTAGTATAATTGACGGATGTATTCATAATAAAGAAGATAGTGAATGAGGATAGCTTTAATATTGAATTTATTGAACGAGTTTAATAAGATTATATTACCGGTATGCGAGCCTTTGGCGAGAATGATGTTATTTATTCAATGAGTTCAATAAATTTAGTAATGTACATACACGGATTTAATATTCTGTTTATCACACACAAAAAAATAATAAACTGTTTATAATAAAAAAAATAATAATTTATCACTGACGCGCTTATAGTGCAACGCTAATATTTAGCGTGCCTGTGCCGCAAATGACGTCATGTCAAAATGTATGCGCCGCCTTGCCATACCATTTTTATGGAGTCGTAAAAAAAGTAAAACGTTTGTGGTGAATAATAATATATTATAAAAACAAACAATTTAGTCAATTCGTCATGATTTTTTAAAAATGAAAACAAATTTCTTACGTCCCATTTAATTATTAGCCAGTGTGATTTGCTTGTGTCTGTGTGAACATTGGAAGGATTTTTCTCTGGCACGTTCATCGTCGGAATCATGCATGCTTGGAATGAGTAAGCACTCGGCTCGCTTGTACCAAACTCGTTTTCCGCTATAACCCTATCAGTAACAAAAACAAAAATCTTCTTCAGGTGAAACCCTCCTAATGGACTACCTCTTATATAAAGGCTAAAAATACCGTCAACTGCATATGAAATCAATGCATTTAACGATAAAAATACACCAGCAACATTGTATGGATATTGTGTTCCCCCTAACATGTATTACAACGGTCCCATAACTGCATAACAAATAGATAGCTAAATTGAAAGCATGCACATTTTCCACTTTATAATGATGTAATCTAGAATGTAATGCCGAATTGCGATGGTCTCGAGAATCAACCCGTACAAGAAAAAAAAACAAAAACGTCGGATGGATGTTGTGGCGCGTACATGTATGTATACCTGGTGTAAAATATGACAAAAGGTTGTTGACAATAATATATGATATTTTACTGTTTTAAAACAACCGGATGTATAATAGCATGTTTACCAATGCCTTCGGTAGCTATCCCAAATGCGTAAATTCCCTAACCCAAACTAGCCCGTTCAATTGAACAATATTGTCTCTTTTTCTTACTTACCTAAAAGAATAATTAGCGTAATATGATAACGGTATTTCTGCACGTGTAACACCTTGAGTTGTTACGTTAACAACGTTTGTCCAAGTACTCGGAGTAAATGACGTGTTATACTCCACATAATATTTCGTTACAGGTGTGATGGTCCGTGGACTATCTCTCCAAGAGATTACTGCCTTTAAATTATTTGCATCACATTCTTCCACTATCGGATAACTCGTTGCAAATGGAGCCGCTATAATATATAGTACACTTAGTTGTACATTATGTAATATTCTTATTATTAAGTACAACCTATTATTGTTTTACGTCTGTAGCTGAATAGATGTAACGACCATGCCATTTTTTTAAGTTATGTATACATGTTCTGTTATATTAATCAAATTTTATATAAACTATTTATATAAACATATGCTTCTGCTATTGATAGTTAGATTGGAAATAATAGTGCGCAGAAAATTACAGACATTCTTGTCAATTTTTAGATTTGCCTCCAGACAGGTAAAATACATGTTTAAAAATCAAATTTTAAACAAATAAAGTTTCAGAAATGTATAAATATTCACAATACAAGTAAAACTTTGAATATCCTGTGAAAGATATTACAGAACCTACAACTTTTAACACCAAAACAAATGTTATACCTCATTACATTCGGAGAAATTGGTAATCTACGTAACGACAAGGAAAAAAGGGTAAAATGTATCTACAAAAGGGTTTGTAATTACTAATTAGAACAATTTTATGTTTTAAAAACAAAATCACAAATTTGGGGAATAACCGTTACCGGTATATTATATCACGGCTTTAATTTATGTGATATTAAGTAAATCTTATAACCTCCTTTTGGCGTTCTAAATCTCACAATATTGGAAGGTAGTGAGTCAAAGTGATCGTTAAATGCTACAACTTCAACCGCCATTTCTGTGTCAAATGGTAGCAATTTCAAACCCGCACGCTCTTCATTGAAATCTCCAAAGTCAGTAAGCGACCCATGAAGCATTTGAATTTTCTCTGTAGTCATTCTCTTCCCGGATACCCAGTATTTCATCTTTTTGTGAAAAAAAGAACAAAGCCAAAGTAAACTATCATGTATCATATATTTTCTACGAATCCCAAAAGTGGCATCATACATATTTCAACAATACCCTGATTAAAAGAATAAACAATTCATTTTTTATATGATATTATAAATGAAATGACCTTGCGTTTAAACAAAATGTTCTTGCGTTGCGCGAATCCAGTCTCAGGTCTCATAGGACATAATCATTGGCCCGGCCTCTGCCGGTCATTGAATATTGTTTAAAATTTTGGATTGAAAAAAAAAACTTAAAATATTTTCATTTACAATATATTTCAACAAGTAAAATGAAGTATTTTGCAGTTTGCAGACTTCCACTCAACACTGAAAAGGTCTCATGACGACTTTCCAGACTGTTTATGGAAGGCCTCAAGTGCTTCTTGTGCAGTATGTCAAGCATGAACGTGCAACCGGGTAGAATCACCGACGCTCACTTTACTAGTTAGAACATCCGTCCCCTGGGTACCCGCCCATGGGTGGTAACAAGGCTTGCAGGCTTGACTGGTGCTCTCTTCTGTTATTTTTTCCCATGCTGGAAAATTCGGAATATCCGTTCAAAAGGTATCCGTGCATTTGGCGGGGAAAATGCTTGTGTATGGATGAAATGGGGGGAAACCCATCAAACACTACGACTATTATTTTGTCAATACAAGTATTGAGTAGCAAAGCCTTTAATTTTGATGGCAGAGTATTTCATGCAACCATGGTTTTAACGAAAGCTAACGTGTGAATAAAGCTGAAAAATAAACTAAAGTAAAAGATAGTTGGTTTTGTAACTGTTACAAAACCAATTAGTTAACATGTTTACATTAATTAATTCCTATTAAACTTTTTACCTTGTAACCCATAAATTGACCCGCCATCATTTCTGGTGAAAAATCTACAGGGTCCCACCTAAATGTGTAATAATAACCATTTGCAGACGTGAGTGTTAAGTCTTTAGGACGCGTGTAAGGAACGCCAATAGGTGTCAAACATGGCGGCCAGGTATGTACGCTGGGAGCACTTTTTCCATATTCGTTTTCCGTGATAACCCTTTTAAAAAAGAAAGATTCGTAAAACAATGATATATGGCCATTCACAGAATTGACTTCAAATATTTATTTATTTAACCAGCAAAAACCGTTAAAATGTCTTGACGGGTACATTAATAAATCTTGACATACATCTAGCCAATAGCGGTACCATAATTATGGACCAGGTACATCTGTGAGCATAAAATGTGAAAAATACGCAAAAACGGTGCAAAAGTAACACCGAATCTGTATGACATATGGCCGTAACGAGCGTTTATAACGTTTTTTCAAATTTATTTACTATAATATATTTTTGTGGCTTTACTTACCATGTTGCGGGCATATGTTATACAGATTCGGCGTCACAATTACGATACCCCTGCATTATTTTACTTTCTGCGTTAGGGATATAAAAAGTGACATGTTTTTAGTTTGACAAAAAGAACACTTTTACATGATTGTGTAAATCATTCACAACCTACCTAATGATGCTATATGCAAATCAAAACTATTTGAAAAAGGTGAAGGTTATCAAAAAATAAAAAGCATAAAATTTGCTGTTAAGAAGACACTATTGCGCCACATTTTGTGAATTTTAAACTACCTGAATGTAAAATTTCTGTAAGGTGTCAAAGGAACCTCAACTTGAGTCTGTTGTGGGTCAGTGACGTTGACTACATTGATCCAAACTTTGGGAGTATAAGAAGTATTATACTCGAAATTTAAAAATTTTGTACCCCGGGGCAGAATTTAAAAACCGGGGCCCAATGTATACCGCTTTTTCAAAACCCAAAATGCACCCGTTGACATCCACGGGGGGATTTGGGTTTAAACTAAAAAAAAACAAAATAAAAAACCATACGGGGTTTTTAAAAATCAAAACAGTAAAACGGGCGACCAAAATAAGTTTAAAGCAAATTAAAAAAGTATGGGGTTTGGGGTGACATAACGGGTTTAAAGAAAAGTTAAAAGCAATCTTTTACCCCCCGCTCACTGATTGTTTGCCCAAATGGGCCCTACAAAAAGCCCGGAAAAAAAACCAATTTTTTTTAAGACCTTTGGGGTTTTTAAATAAATATTTTTAAAAAATATTTTAAAAATTTTTTAAATAGATTAAATTAAAATTTAAATTTAGCTAGAAACACCAATTTATTATGCATTTTTTACTTACAAGCCTGTCGTTTGCCCATTAGAAAACTAGAACATCCCGTCAATATAACAACAGCCATATAGACATTGCGCATGCGCACCATCATTCTGTCGATAGTTAGAATGTTAAAAGTTGTATCTGTCTTGGCTTTTAAGCAATATTTTCTTAAACTGAAATAAAGAAAAGTATATAATGTTATATTGGTCACAAGAAGAGGGTATTTTGTCACTTTTTGAAAGGTACGATTGCAAGTCATTTTGTTCTTTTTAAATAAATGTTGAAACTGAGTCAAGAAAATGTTTGGTACATCAGCATATGAAATAACGATAATGACAGTTACTGTAAAGTTTAAATGACTTCAATGCAGCGATTGCTGAAAAATAGGATGGACAAAAGGAAATATATGCACATGTATCCCCGTTTCGGACCATTTATGATGGATCAAATCTTTTCTAGATCCAATCAGCCATATTAAAATTAAATGAAGTCCTATGTACTTTTTTAATGTTTTAACCAATCTTAAATTTTCGGAGGTTATTTTCTAGTTCCCACAGTCACCAAATAAAGAACATTTACTTCCGGGAAAGGGAAAAACATTTGTGTCAAATTTAAGTCATTCAAAAATGTGTATCGGCACAACCACTTACTGAAGGTCACAAAAATGTTGTTAGAACTTTTGGGTAAAACCTCTTGTTGTATGCCACTTGATGATTATGTTTGTAATGTTGTGAAGTGTACATGAATACAAAAATGTTATTAAACTAAACCAAATAGATACGGTAATGTACTGAGCAGGGGAAGTAGTGTGTTTGAAAATAACTAAATAACTAATGTAGCACCGTGTCTTAGGAAACGATAATTATTAAAATTTTTATGCAGCCCGCAAAACTTTGCCAATGCTTTTAAGAAAATGATAACTATGTACTTTTTAAAAGTTTATTTTGTAAGATTATATGTACATTGACGTATTTTGTTGCGCGTGCTTATTTACATTTGGTTATTTCATTGGGTATTTACATTTTTGTCCATTTGACAAACTTCAAGTTCCAAGTTTTAATTTCAATTAGGCATATGGGCATCTGTGTGATAAACAGCAAATTACACAAATGAGCATTAACAACAAAATAATACAAATTTTAATGTGTAAATAAAGTTTGTAGACAAATTTATTTACATGATGAATAAAATAATAAGGCTAGAAATACTTATGTTTATGCCTTATAATGATGAGAGACTAGAAAGTAATAAATTTCTAGTTACATAATGCAACCACACCATGAACATTCCTGACCAAAAACACAAATGAAGCGACAAAATATGAACAAGGTGCCGTAGCGTAACCATAATATGAGGCCCATGAAACCCGGTATTGTACCAACACCATGTTCGTATGACTAGTTTCGCTGACATTATAATTATAGGAAGTGCCATAATGCGACTACAAATAGATAGATATCATACTCTGTGTTATAATGGAACTCAATATGCAGTTTATGGTTGCTACATATCTAAATCTACACAACGACCAGGCTAGATTTTTTGGTAATTTTTTTTTTTAAGTTTTAACTCAAATGAGGATTTTAAAATTTTGTAAGTGATACATTTGCTAGAGTAACATATGCAAGTGCCACCAACGTAGCGACTTATCACGTATTTACTTACATAAAATTACCTATCTAAAATAAAATATCTAAAATTTAATTCATGTAAGGCAAAATATAGTAACAGTACATATAGAGATGGTCTGATTGAATAGACCAAAGAGAATGAAAATAAAACTGAAACTGCAGAAACAGCTGATGGATCTGTTTTGGAATGACACATTTAAGGTTTATTGACATTTTCTAACTTGTTCTAGGTCATTATACATATCTAGAATCGATTTACGAGTTTGTACATTTGGTTTGCTGCTAAAAAGTAGTCATCCGTAACAGATTATACTCAGCTGTTATTGTTACTTTATGATAATGTATCTTTGTAGTTTAATTTGTATATATATGATACGGTGCCAGGTGTGGCGTACAACCAAGATTAATTAATTAGAAATGTTTTAATACAACATAATACAATGTATATGTTTTATTTATGGAAAAAAAGACTGAAAATTTCCTACATGTTTTAATATTATATTTATGTTAAGTTGTTTTATTTTATAAAAATACAAATTAAACTTAATCTTAATACATTATGAAAAAACAATATATCATAGATATCAATATATCATCTAAATACATTTTTCAAATGAAATATGCCATTCAAATATATTATGAAAATACAATATTTCATCCAAAGACATTGTGAAAATACAAAACACAATAAATGATGTAACTGCATTATGAAAATACAATGTATTATCTAAATATGTGTGAAAAATATACATGAATTATAAATTACCTCTATACTGCTACCTTTAGTTTCATTACAACGTATCATTTTTTAAATTAAAGAGCATTTTATCAAATTTTAACCATGATATATTACCACATGATTGTAAATTAAAAATATACTTAAATCAATTACTTATATATGCAATGTATAATTGCATCCGCTCCACTGTCTCAAAGTAAGACTTCTGTAAATTTGATAATATGTAAAATTGTTCCACTTCAATCAACCATGATTCTGTTTATAATAATACATCATTATTTTCAAATAAGTTTTTCATTTCGACGCAATAAAGTTTATGTTATCGTTTACCACCAATACCTTTAATATTATTCGGAAGCGAAAAAAAATAAAGTCACTTTTCTCGTCAATGTCCCTGTTCGTATAAATACGAATTAGTAAAAATCATTTTTGATAGTTAAGTTTAAAGACAAATATGTATTGTAAAAATCATTTAGTAAAATTGTTTTACGTATATTATAGAAGGATTGTTTATTTTTAAAAATGTATATTCCTGATATTGTAACACTGCACGTTTGTAACGTCGTTTTTCATTGGATAATCATTATCTGTATCCACGGTTCATCAAATAAAGGAAGTTTGCAGTATCATAAACACATTTTATTTGGTTCGTGACAGGTTATATGACAGTATATATCGGCTCTGCTTATATATACAAAAACCGTTTATATTAGACCATATAACCTGTCAAAAAAAATTGATAACTAATAGAATAAACAAACTATAAGTTATTGCCTTGAGGATTTAGCGTAGTGTTACATGTAATAACAAAGAAATAGTGAACATCGTTTCTGACATGATATATTTCAACAATTTATGTTAACATCATTTCATTAAGTATCCATAAATAACTTATATATCAGTGTAACTTTAGCATAATTGTACACTTTAATAATAATGTTAAATGCGGGTGAATAGTTTTCATGTTTGATAAGTTCATTATTCAAATTCCACAAGGCCAGATGGTCCGTCAAGGTAAACAATACAAAATATATACATGTATATGCCAAGACAGTGTGAAAAAATAAATATGCAACAAGATTTAAACAATAACGAGGTTTTCAATTCGTTGCATGTTGAAATATCGTCGTATTACTAAAACATTTCTAATATTGTTTAGAGTTCACATAAAAATATGTATGTTTCAAGATGGGTGTCGATCTTAGCGGAAAAGGAAAGAGAATATCTTAATGCCTGTTTTAACATTATAGAGGCAATACTGTTATGTTGATCATTCAGAAATATGTATCATTAATAATACAGACACTATACATTGTATATATTGTTAATTTAATTTTAATAACCTATGACATATCAAAATACAAGTATAATACATCAGTAATATAATACAAACAATTATCAATATAGTTAACAACTATTGCAATTAGTTCAATACTTCAGGAGAACTTCAGATAAATGCCTGAAAACTTTTACCGATGTATTAAACATGTACAAATTTTAACTTTACCTTAGCTCTACTCGGTCTCCCTATTTCGTTAAAGAAAATATCTTCATTAAATAAATTGTTTTATCTCTAAACATGACTATTATCAAATTGTTCTTACAGCAGAATTCTTTCAGCTAAAAACAAAATGATTGCATATAATAAAGGTTTAATAAAAAAGAAACATAAAACTTTCCCCTTCCAATAAACTATTACAACAACATGTAACTAAACTACAAACAATTAATAGAAATTATAAAGTTACAAATTAAATGAAATTGCATACCTTCAGTCTGCAATAGTTAGCACATAAGCACAGCGTCTGCAGCAAACCCTGGCGGACAAATCATTTATATAAGCTATCAAAGTATTCAATCTGCATAAAAAGGCATGAAATAACAACAAACAGGTGATGACATACTTCGACATTTAAGTTGAATGAACTTAAATTATGTCAGGTAACTCTAAACTATATAATTATGTACGGTTATCATGAACTTTCTGCGCTAATTGTCATACATGTACTTACCCAGCTTTCAATCTAGACTGAACCATTCATCATGCTGGGATTTGTTTTAGTTACATTTAATTTATATTTTTAAACTTTGTTCTCTCTAAATAGCAGTCAGTGCATACCATGACTTGGTTCGTCATGACGGCACGGATTTTGCCGGCTGAACTGTGTCTCATTGGCAGAATAAACAGCATGCTAAAGATGAACCAAGATAATTAAAAACATTTCAGTGTAATAATGATTTTGACTTAATATTATTATTTTGAAAATTAAAGTAGGTCGCAAATAGCTGTATCATCAACAGTGGCATATCTATTACACCCAGTGTTTTGTAAGTATCTAACTTTGGAAACAAAATACCCGTGGCAACATTCCTAAAAAGAAAGCAAAATTTGTAGACATGTTTTTTTTTTTATATTTTGATATTGAAGTTTGAAACCAAAAGTGTACCAAACTAATAAATCCCCACCCACCCCTCTCTCACTTAAAATGTTCATATAATTTTTGTACTTATTTCTATGTATTTTCATATCTAATATTCATATATAATGTGTAAATATTCATAAAAAGGTGAAGCTGTGTGACATTACATATTTTACTACTTTTTCCCTATAACAAACGGCGAAAGATGTATTTCTGCATATGTTGACAAGATTCTTTTTATGATTTCTGTAAAAGTAAGTACTTCAGACTAGGGTAAATCATTTAATGTGTAGGCATGAAAATAGTTTTTCATTTGCACATATTTTTAAGTTGCACGAATCTGAAAGTGCGCTATCCTAAGTAAACATTTGAACCGTGCGCACTCAGCAAACTAGGTGTGTACTTTAATGATACATCCGTAAGCTGAGGTTAATAACCCAGAGTTTCAAAACTTGTTGACTGCATGGAGTGTACTTTAGATATGATCGCATGCAAACGCACTATCTTGACTAAAGCAAAATAACAACAGCTTTGATGGCTATTGGATATATGAAACACACACATATTAAAAGCACTTATATCAACTATAAACATAATTATTCAACTGCTGTTCATAGTTGGATTAGAAATAATATTGCACAGAAAATTACAGACATTTTTGTCAATTTTTAGATTTGCCTCCAGACCAGTAAAATAAATGTTTAAAAATCAAATTTTAAACAAACAAAGTTACAGAAAAGTAAAAATATTCACAATACAAGTAAAACTTTGAATATACTGTGACAGATATTATAGAGCACCAAAAAATGTTCTACCTCATTACATTTAGAGAAATTTGACAACTTATTGGTAATCTACGTGACGACAAGCGTAAACAATGGAAAAATGTATCTACAAAAGGGTTAACATAAATTACTTATTAGAACAATTTTATGTCACAGAGTTGGGAAATAACCTTTTCATCACGGCTTTTGCAAATAACGCAAACAAAAGGGTATACAACGTAAAAGCTAAATTGTTTTGTTGGGGTTCTTCGAGTTGAGCTGAGTTGAGTTGTTGTAGTTAAAGTGTCTAAATTTGCTTTTTAACACTTGCTAGTATTTAATTATGATGCATAATTTTATTTTGAATTGATTTTATCATTATGCTTTCACTTGGACGTAATCTATGTACACGCATAGAGTTCTAAATGACAGACAGTTTAAGCGAAAACATGTTTAAATAGATTTCTGTTAAAACAGAGTAATTTCGTAACATTATCACCAAGCACCATTATATGACCTAGTGAACCGTGTATCAAAATTGTGCTGCTTCTTTAACTTCGGAACACCTCGCCGATTATTCCTAAACTGAGAGACTGGCGGAAATCATTGTATTCAAATATCGACCTGTGTCTTACGACGCTTTACTCACCCCAAATGAGGGTAAAATGACTCCGACATAAAGAAGTCCGCGTAGGGATGACAATTTTATTATATAAAACACAATGTATATTTTCAAGAAATTAAAATCGTTTATTGCTTTTAAGGGATCACTGCTTTCCAGAGTTTAATGTTGCAAGTGCAACTGTGTTACTATTTATTCAAATATTCAAAACTTCTTTCACTTTCGAATTTTATTTAACCTTACAAACGACGACATACGCGTTGAACGAAACTGGGTTTGTTAAGCCAATTAAAAATTGCCAGAATGAGTGTTTGGTGCATGTTTTGAGTGAAAAAGATGAAATGGCTATTATGCTTACAGAATATGGAATAAGTTTAATTTTACAACTGGCCCCATTTGCGTTTTTGTTCTATCACTTCGGTGTTCAAGCCGTCATGTAAAAAGGAGTGCGTTCCAATCATTTTAGATTAGTTTCACACAGGTCAGTAAGACGGGTGTACACAATGTGGAGGAAATAGCCGATATGTTGCTATATATTATTCGACTTATCAGAAGTTCTTACTTACCCGCTATTACAAAAAATCTTAAACAACTTAAAAAAGACCTCTTGCATTCATCTTTTAAAGAAGGAAACTTGCTATTTTTAATGAGTGAGACTAAAAATGAATTGGAGCACCACAGTAAAAACCGTATTCCGGTCAGTCCTGTGATCAGCAGAAAATTTTAATGAAATGGTTGGTAATCCTCTTTGAAGTCATTTTGCAAAAAAATTGGTTGGCTACCACTAAATAACAATATCATTTTTATGTGTCAGGCATTTCATTCTGCTAAAAAAATCACCTCTTTAGCATGAAAACTCAATTTTAAGGTAGGATTAGGGACCATTTCTTATAATGTAAGTCTATGGAAATATCAATGTGAGTGTCTGACCTAACGTGGTGAATTCAAACAGTGTTACAACAGAATAAAGATTTTTGAAAAAAGTTGATGGTTAACATGTTATATTTTGGGCCTCATTTGACTAAGATAGTGTTGATGTTTAAAGTTGAAGACAGTACAAATAATTCATATATAATTCATCAGGAACAGTGAAATTGGGAATTACGCCTCAAATGTGACTGATTTACTATAGAACAAAGAATACGAAAATTCACAAGGTCGACACCTTAAATGCTAAAATCGGTCTCACTCTAGTACAGAATTAGATCCAGCCCGTTGTAGGATAGAAAATAGTTCTTTGAAATTTTGAAGTGTCCTATTTCAGGATCATTTTTGAAGTGACTGGTTACATTTTAAGTGTATTAATTGTAACAGTGTAATCAGTTTATATTTATTTGAGAAGTAAATTCATGATTTTCATGTATTTAGTATTGAGTAAGGAATTGAGATGGTTCAGAAATAGCATTCCTTTTAACTTCACTTAACTCTTAAATCATGCACATTGTTCATAATAATATGCATTCTTTATTTGATAATTTTCAGCACCCAGTCACTGTGTGAAGGAGTAAAGAAATTAGATGGCATTGATTCATGTGATATTTGATTATTATGTGATTTGATATTGTTTAGAGCATACAATTCCACAAATTGGTAAGTCATTATTAAATATGATACATTTGTGTAATTGGGTGTTATATATCATGTGTAAGTTATTGATGTAACTTTTAACTGACCATTTATTGTATGTATGTTATGTAACTGTTACATTTTAATGTAACTTGATGATATTATTACTAAAGGTTAAGATGAAGCCACTAGAACCACTTAATAATAAGTATGAAATGTGAACTATTGAACATTATAATTTAATGTGTTTTTAACATAATATTTTGAAGAAGAGGGAGATAACCCTGCATAGATGAGACATTAAGTGAATAGGCATTTAGTGGCATTTTGTATGTTTTTTAGTTTGCTTGACTTGTTAACTAAGTACTCTAGTTGACTGCTGATAATGTAATGTGGAACAGAGTACAGAAACTGTGAATTAATGGTTTAATACATTTTAAAGTGATACAGTGTCCATTTATATTTGTTTATCAACTTAATAACACAGTGAACTATTAATAAAATATATATAAATATATATATGTAAACCAAAGCCTATTTGGATTTGAAATATTTTATTTTGATACAAAATAATCAAAGGTAATATAAGGACCGCCAATAGGTGTCAAACAGGGTGGCCTGGTATGTACGCTGGGAGCACTTTTTCCATGTTCGTTTTCCGTGATAACCCTTTAAAAAAAGAAAGATTCGTAAAAACAATGATACATGAACATTCACAGAATTGATTTCATATCTTTATTCATTTAACCAGCAAAATATCGTTATAATTTCTTGACAGGTTTATTAATAAATCTTGACATACATCTAGCAAATATTGGTACAGGCACATATGTGAGAAATACGCAAAAAAAGGGGCGAAAGGAAAACCGACAATCGACAACCGACAATCTGTGACATATGGCCTTAACTTTTTATATGCCCGAAATGATGATTTCGGGCATATTATACGCCCTTGCGTCCGTCTGTCTGTCCGTCCGATCGTCCGCACTCACAGGACAGTAATTATGTGGCTAGAGGGACAATAGTTAAGTGTTCTTTCTCTTTGATGTCATTCATTCCGTAATGCTTTTATGTGGTTATTTTCTTTTGTGTGGCTAAAAAGAACAATAGAGAGAACAATAGAGTAGCCACATTATTACTCTCCTGTTATAGCTTCCGTCCGTCTGTCCGTTAGCAATTTGGTTTCCTGAGCATAACTTAAGTTCCACTCTGCCCACAATATTCAAAATTCATAGTATGATTGTCCATTTTGGATGGAAGACCCTTATTGATTTTGAGGTCACAAGGTCAAAGGTCAAGGTCAGTATTACCTTAAGACTGAAAACAGTTTCCGGAGAATAACTTTAGTTCCATTTAGCCCACAGTGTTTAAACTTCACAGGATGATTATCCATATTGGACAGAAGAAAAATATATTGATTTTTAGAGCCACAAGGTCACAGGTCAAGGTAAATATTATTTTAAAATCCAGAACATAACTTCAGTTCCATTTTGCACACAGTGTTCAAACTTCATAGGATGATTTTCCATACTGGGTAGAACACCCACATTGATTTGCGGGTCACAAGATCAAAGTTCAAGGTCACTTTTACCTTAAAACTGAAAACAGTTTCCAGAGCATAACTTAAGTTCCATTTGGACCACAATATTCAAACTTCATAGGAGGATTGATATTTGAAGGAATTAATACGATATTTTATTCCCATGTCTTACAAATGCTTCATCTTTCCTTAAAAACACCTTCGGGCTTATTATGCTCTGCCGAGCGATGCTTTTGTTTCAAATTGATTTATTAATATACAATTGTATCGCTTTACTTACCATGTTGCGCGTTACGGGCATATGTTATACAGATTTGGCGTCACAATTACGTAACCATTGCATTATTTTCACTTTCTCCGTTACGGACATAAAAGTGATGTTTTTTTATTTGACAAAAAGAACACTTTTCATGTTTAAATCATTCACATCCTACCTTATGATGCTATATGCAAATTAAAACTATTTGGAAACGGTAAAGGTTAACAAAAAAGCATAAAATTTGCTGTATAGAAGACATTATGTTGCGCCACTTTTTGTGAATTTTAAATTACCTGAATGTAAAATTTCTGTAAGGTATCAAAGGAACTTCAGCTTGAGTCTGGTGTGGGTCAGTGACGTTGACTACATTAATCCAAACATTGGGAGTATAAGAAGTATTATACTCGATTAAGAATTTAGTAACAGGAGCAGAATTTGAATCCAGTGCCCAATGTATCACCGCTTTATCAACCATACATGCACCCAGTGTGACATCCACGGGGGGATTAGGTTTATCTAAAATTAAACAAAGATAGAACCATACGATGTATTTTAATATCAAAACAGTAAAAAGTCGACCAAAATGGGTGCTGCTAAATTGAAAATGGTAAGGATTGGAGTGATTTGAACGGTTCAAAGAATGTTGAATGCAATCTGTTACCCACGCTCACTGATTGTTGCCAGTGTGGCATACCAGAGACCGGAAATTTACTTATTATTTCAATACATTTGTGTCTTAAACTAAGCTTGTTAGAAATTACAAAAAATACTTCAACATTCTTTAATAGATTAAATTTAAGTCGCCTAGATTACCACTATACGTACAAGCCTGTCGTTTGCCTATGTTCGTGAAAAAACTAGAACATCCCGTCAATATAACAACAAACATATAGACATTGCGCATAAGCACCATCATACTGTCGATATGTGTGCTAAAAAGTTCTGTCTGTCTTGGCTTTCAAGCACAGTTTACTTATACTGAAATAAAGAAATAAGAAAATGAGCAGAACTAAGTGTTATATATTGGTCACAAGTAGAGGGTATTTTGTTACTTCTGAAAGGTACGTGTACATGTTATTTTATTCTTTACATAAAAGTCCAAATATAAGTCAAGAAAATGTTTGGTACATCTACATATAAAATAGCGATAAGGATATTTACCGTGAAATTTAAATGACTTCCAGGCAGCGGTTGCTGAAAAATTGTCAGGACGGACAGAAGGAAATTTTTGTTCTCACAGTCACCAATAAACAGAGTATTTAATTCCGGGAAAGGGAAAACCTGCATGTCAAAGTCAAGTCATTCAAAGTGTATATTGATTCTATATCCTGGCACAACCACTTAATGTAGGTCACAACAATGTTGTTAGAACTTTTGGGCCACCCTCTTTTTGTATGTCATTTGATGAATATGTTTGTAGAGTTGTGAAGTGTACATTGATACAACAAAAATGTTATTAAACTAAATCAAATAGATACGAAAATGTAGTGAGCAGTCGGTACAAGGAAAAATCGGAAAATATCATTTGCGTTATTTACACTACAACCAATGGTTCATTCCGTTTTAATCCTTTAAACTGAATAGATCGATTATTGTTTTCTGAATAGGTAATAGTTATAGTTCAGATTTTAAAAAATATTGAATTTATTGCAATCGTAGAGTAGCGGAGCGCAGCAATAAGTTCTTTATTTTTTAAAATATAAACTTTAACTGGCTTACCGTTTGACCCACTTTCGTGGAATAAGTCACGTACGAAGTGTCGGTACAGCGGAGTCCCGCCCTAACTAGTATAGATTGGCAGGACCAACACATGGTCCGAGTGTTTTGACCTGTCAATTAAAGCCTTGCGTTTTTATGTATTTTTACATCACTAGTCATCATGTAACAATCCCGCGATCAGGTTGTGTTTGACATAATGAATATAGCAAGAATCATATTTTTGAACTTTTTCATGTGGTCACGGTTGCTTGATATTGATACGCAGGTTTTATATGCAGACACAAGCAACAAGAGACAATAGCTCACAGGTAAATATTTTATAAAAAAAAAAAAGAATATTCTCGAATTCTCGCAATATCTAACTTCATCATTATCTGAATGAAAATGCGAATTGTAACATGACCAGGCGCAGCTTTTACTACAGAACGTCAAAGTAGATGACGGTAAATTATTCAAACATAACATGATCAATCTGCCTTAAATGCCGTTGCAATTATAAAAAAAAACTTTGAAAATCATATTTAAGTGATTTCTTTGATATTTGCATTTTGCAGGCCGACTGAAAAGCTTTTGTCATCTGATGACATTAGGAAGAAACAGAAATACAGTGCCCTATAATACATCGAAAACCATCAACTGGGCATTGCACGTCTTGAGGGAGTGGGCTGAAAACGGCAACCTACAAACGGAGACTTAGCAAGAGCCTTGTTGTCATATTCCCGTTCAAATAGAGCAGTTCCGTTCATGTGCACAAATGGATTTTTGGTCGCAACAATTCATCTGTGAAATTTAAAGGAAAAATAGAGAATTCTATCCTCCAACAACTTTACTAAACATTGCTGCAAGGCTACAATGGTATCTTCGAAATAAAAATCCATGCACGTGAACTTTGTTACAACTGAAGATCCTTTTTTCTGAACTTCGCAGAATATTGTATCCACGCATGCGCGAGTTGACTATACGAGGGTATAGGGATCGAAGTCAACAGTTAAAAAAGTGTAGTTTATAACAAAATGTGGAAAAACTAGTTTGTCATGGAATTATGAAAAATTGATATTCTGTATGATTTTGTACATATTGTGTAGATATGTGTTGGTTTCGACTTTGAGATTTCTCTCACTCCATGTCTATTCATAGGCACTTGGTTTCGGGATAAAAAAACCTTTTGAAGGGTTTGTATAACTCAAATTTTATTGAATGTAACGATATTACTTTAAGTAATATCGGAAAAATGTCGAATTTAGAATCGAGACATCTACGTTAAAAAATCGTTACATTCAATCAAATTTTAGTTATACAAACCCTTCAAAAGGCTTTTTATCCCGAAACTAAGTGCCTATGTGTCTATTATTTTCAGTGATCAGCCATGTTTGAATTATAACCATGACGGTATAGGGAATGTACTGTTTCAATTATTTTTATACATGTAAAAGCTTGGATTTATAAATAACCGTATGAAATCGCTTTCTTATTGGTTTACTTTATTTGCATGCTAAATTCATTGTCTAATGTAAAACTCCGCCCATATCCATAACTTCCTGTTTACCAGATACGACGTCAATACCTGTTAAAATATGTCAACTTATTTTTCACATACACCAGTCCCAGTATAGTGTATGCAATATATTTCAAATAAATTGGAGCATTTGATTGGATAAGAAAGTGGGACAAACGGTAAGGTTTTACTATTTCAGGTTATAAAAAATAGAAACATTGACCATTGCAAGTTACGATATCATCATCATGCATTATTTTATAACCGAGTGAACCGTGTACATAAAATTGGCTGATCCCCCTTTAACTTTTTAACCGATATGACTAAATTACGCAGCGGAGATTGTTTGGATTTTTCTCAAGGATTTTTTTTAAACAATGTGGTTGGAGGCATACAAGAAATATCTACAGACAGTATATTCCAATACTATGAAATATATACATTTTTATGTAAGCATGGGACTTTAAAAAAATTTTCCACAGCTGCAAAAAACCTCTCGCATGCTTTTTTTTTAAAGAGACAAACCTATTTTCAACTAAGCCCATATTGTCATCAGGGTAATAAACAGCAAATTTCACAAATGAGCATTAACAACAAAATAATACAAATGTGTAAATAAAGCTTGTAGACAAACTTATTTGCATGATAAATACAAGAATATGGCTAGAGATTCTTATGTATATGACTTATTATGATGAGGGACTAGAAAATAATAAATAACTAGTAACATATTGCAACCACACCATGAAAAATCTTGACCAAAACACAAATGAAGTGACAATGTGCCATGCCGTAACCACAACATGATGCCCATGAAACCCCGCAAAGTAACCACATCATATCCGTATAACTAATTTCGCTCACATTATAGTAAAAAATGCGATTATAAATAGATCTAGATAAATATTATACTTTGTTTAAAAACAGACAGTTTGACTAATACTGTTCTATCAGTACTTTTAAATAATTGCTGTAAATTAAACACCTTTAAGTGAATTAATAGGTAAGTATTCCCACGATAGATGGTAAAATGAGGACATTGAAGAATATAATGGAACTCATCACCTACTAATTATTTGGACAGAGATGGCAAAATCTGAAGTGATGATAATGACCCTTGTCTATTAACTATGCATTGTATATATTGTTAATCTAATTTTAATTACCTACGACATATCAACATGAACTTTACCAAAAGTATTTGTAGTACATCAGTTATAAAATACAAACAACTAACAATACAATTAAAAACCCTGAAATTAGTAATACCGGTATTTCAATGAGTTTTATATAGAAAAAGAGAGCGTTCGGGAGAACTTCAGTCCAATGTCTGAAAACTTTTACCCATGTATAATACATAATTTTCAATTTTACCCTAGTTTACTCGGTCTGCATGTTACGCGAGTGACAATACCTTGAATAAATTGTTTATCCATAAAAATGACTTCTAGTATTATCAGCATAATTCTTTTCAGCTTATAAAACATTGCATGTAAAAAATGTCTAATAAAAAAATCAAACGTAGTCTAGCAACAAAGCGGATACAGCAACTTGTAACTACAAAAATTATCATGAAACAAGTTAGATAAAAGAACTCACCTTCACCTGCAATGATAAGCACATCAGCACAGTGTCTGCAGCAAACCTTGGCGGAAAAATCATTTATATAAGCTATCAAAGAATTCAATCTGCATAAAAAAGGCATGAAATAACAACAAACAGAAGATGACGTACTTCTATGACATTTAAGTTGAATGATATTAAGATTATGCAAGGTAGCTCTGAAAATATATACGTATGTACGGTTATCATGACGTTTCCATGCTAATTATCTTAAATGGACTGTCCCTGCTTTTAATCTGGTGTTGAGGAATGTTTTGTAATAATCTATGGACTCACAAATGATCGTAATTGAATAGCCTAGGCGATTTTGCAGGCTTTAATTGGTCTTAAGGGAGAATATATTGTCGCAAGCTAGCAAAGGGATTAACAAAACATTTAAAAATAGTTCAGGTAATAATGATTTTGACCTAACATTATTATTTTGCAAATTGAAGTAGGTCGCAAATAACTGCATCATCAACAGTATTATATCTACTACACCCAAGTCTTTTGTATGTATGTTTCTTTTGAAACAAAATACCCGTGGCATATATAATGTGTAATAATTCATAAAAAGGTGTGGCTGTGTGTGTATTATGCAAAATATGACATAATTTACTATTTTTGTCACCAAAATTCTACTCTGTTACAAACGGCGAAAGAGGTATTTCTGCACATGTTTGCAAGATTTTTTTTTATAATTTAGGGTATTTAAACTGTTTAATGTGTAGGCATGAAAATATGTAGATATTCATTTGCAAATTTTTTTAAGTTTCACTAATCTGAAAGCGCGTTACTTTAATTAACGCCTGAACCGTGTGCACTCAGCAAACTATGAGTGTACTTTAATGATACTTTAATGATACATCCGTTAGCTGAGGTTAATCACCCAGAGTTTCAAAACTTGATATGTACTTTTAAATATGATGGCGTGCAAACGGGCTATCTTGACGCATCATTTCAAAATAATAACAGCTTTGTTGGTTATTTGATATATGAAACACAGATTTAAGATGAACTCATTCTTTTTTATAGTTATATTATCACAATGTCAAAAAAGAGTTTAAGTACAAAATGACTGTCGAGCTTGTTACAATTTATTTTGTTATACATAAAATGTAATTTAAATCCTAATATTTCGTATGAAAGGTAACCAACTGCGACTTCCCGTTAAGAGAAGAAAGAAGATGAGAGATACTGTATTTTTGTATGGCCTATATCAAATGTTGACAACAAATCATAAGCGAAGAAAAACATGTCATAATTTAGATAAACATAAAAAATGCATAAATGGTATAATAGGAGATAGTTTCTTTAAAATTTCAAAGAACTTGCTTGAGGTTTATAATTGAAAAACGGAAAGTTAGAGGTCAGAAGACATCTTAGAGAAAATAAAGTTAACCTGCAGACATTTTTACAAAACATCTTACGATTTATCTTAAGTTTTTGACTTATTCACTTATTTTTGACTTTAGTCATTTTCACAAAGCCACTCGTAAGTTAAAACTTTATCTTCAGATAAAAAATCACTTACGATAAATCTTACGATAAAAACATCCCTAGCAACGTTCATTTGATATTAATGTACAGGCTCTATATTTGATTCTGATTTTAAAATCAAGTAATAAAGAGCTTGAAATAATTATTGAACACAATCAATTTCAATAAGAACAAAAATGATTCAAACTGATATAATTTATATCTTGAATGAAGATAATTATATATATCTAAAAGATTCAGAAAGAAGGTCAACTAATAAATAAAAAGGTACCACTAGTACATGCTGGCAATGAAATCGAACTCGACACATGTACAAGTAATTAGTTTTCAATAATACTACAATATAGTTCACATTATTTGTGTAATTTATAGCAAACCGTTTGGTTAATATATATATATTTGTCCTCCAGGTGTGTGTTTGTTTTATTGAGTTTAGGTAAGAGATGTGTAATATTTTACCCTTTGGAGAGAAAAAATTACACTTACGAGCGGCCTATTGCATCCATACTTTATAAATAAGTATAAATTCAAAACCATCAGAATTTCACGCCGTTCCGCTAATTGACTTTTCACTATAAACATTCTATATGGGTTACTCACTGACTTCTGACTAAAAAAAGTGGATTCTACACAATATCGTAACAAGTAAATGGTTTCCTGCGGTAAACATTTTTAATGATATAAAAATATTTCATTTAACTATTTTCAACATTATTTGGGAGGGGGGAATAAATAAACGTTTGTAACAGCTAGGAATATAGTTGACAATAATCGAACAATATAGAAGAAGGTCTTTGGAAACTGCATGTGACCGTTGAAGACAGGAGAAGGTCGAACATAAAACAATTATTTCTTTTTAAGAAAATGATTAAATAGGCCTACCATTTTATGAATAATTCCGAGCAAAAAAAAATAATAATAAAGTAAACACACAAGTTTACGCAGAAAATATCTCTTTTTATTATGGCAGATGCCACTACGAATATTTTAATTTTGCACATTTTCAGTACAGTAAAGACTGTCTTAGCGACCCCCTGTATATAGCGACGTTCTGTCTTTAGTGACCATAGTTAGGTGCGCCGAACAGTATTTACTATATAAATGGTCTGTATGTAGCGACTCCCTGTCTAGTCCGTACAACGACCATGATTTAGTCACCCGTTACGGTATTTGAGCCGTGAACAGCGACTTTTGCATGGGGAGCAAGGCTTGAACTAGGTGACGACTTTGGCGAAGAAGTCGCCTTCGGATCAGCGACTTTGCCTTAAACAAACTTCAAAGAGATTTTGAAGTCGTCCGATTTTTATAATTTTCCATCATACTTATTTACGCCGCTATGTCTGTTAATAATTTGTTTACCTCTCAATTACAACCAATTACCGTTAATCCGCTAATTAAGAACGCGTGTCAACATCAAGAAAGTTCAAAACACGCCGCAAGGCAAGAGTTCACTATGTTTATCTTTCTCATTACGTATTCATGCGATTGACGAATCAGAACGCGCGTTGTATCTACGGCAGCTTGCATTGGCCAATCGGCGACACGCTAATACACTGTGGCTGTTTGTTGACAATTACACAAAGTGGCGACAGATTCAATCAATTTTCGCCGATAGAATGATTAAAGACACCTGCATATACATAATTGCTGCGGTGTTTTGGCGAGTAAAGATAAACAATGCCAAACGTCTTAAAGGTGTGGTTATGTTTGAAACCCCGATAGTTAATTTTTTTCGGAGCACTTATCTGTAGAAATTATTTGAAGATTTGTATCTAATGTTTTATTTATACATTGAACTCCGTAAAGTAAACAGGCTGATTATACAAAATTAAATGTCTCTACAGTAACATCTCATTAGTAAAATTGAAATTAAACATTTTTTTTACAAACAGATTTATCAATATCAATTAAATTTTAATGAATATGTAACTTTAAATACTAATGTTATGGTATAGTTTATAATCTTAACCAATTATACATGCAATTTTAATACTCTCTTTTTTTTTATAAATGATATTTGATATGTTAAATATCAATAAAAATATAATTAAACCCTTAGTATGGTACAATCCTGCTTTTCAACAAAATATTGGTATGATATGTTCATATAGAGACTGTCCACGGTGATTCCCTGTCTATAATGACCTTTTTTTTCTCCTATCGAAGGTCACTGTAAACGGTCTTTACTGTATAAACAATTTATTGTTTGTAAAATTTGAGATAGATATTAAAGAAACATGGTTACTTTTCAAACACATAATTCAAGTACGGTGAAATAATTATAAAAATTAGAAATATCACGTAATAGATTTTTGTTCTCAAGTGTAATTCGGACTTATTCCCTACAGGTAAATCCGTAACGTAACGGCAAACGGTATTTAGCTGGGTTTTCGAAAAGGTCAATTAACCAATCATATACGGTTAACAAATCACATGCTCCTCCATGTACCGAAAACAGGTCACGTGCTCCTCCATGCCTCAAAAGTAAAACGCGTACCAATACCCTGCGGTCTCCAGACCGCAGGGAATAAGTTGTGGGGAAGAAATGCAACCTTGACTCTTGTACATGTATTGGTTTTTATATATGTACATGCCTATGTAAAAACCTCTTGGCAGTAGAGTTAAAAGTTGTTGTTTTTTCCTGTTAGATAATTTACTTTGACTACAGACATGTATTCGGGGTTAAATTATTTAAAGGCAATTTATGCTTCAGAAACAAAACAATTTCATCATTTTACAAAGAAAAAACTGCAGTTTTATTACGCCTAAATAATGGTTTTTGAGCATGTTAGATGTGTATCAACTGAAAGAGTAGCACTGAATGTAAAATAACATGCTTTGTCATACAAGTAGCAAAATGTAAACAAAGTAGTGTTTACTTCCAGACAAAAGAAATGAAAATAACATCATTTCTTAGGCATAAATGGAACATCAATAATGGCTTTAATTGCAAAATAAGGCCGTAAAATGTGTTAAATTCCCTTACATTTTTAACATGCAGAGTACAAATATTTATGCATTTCCTTTTATCTTTTATAGTGAACTTATATGACGAATTTATTTCTAACAAACTTTCCGTTCATTTATAATAATATTCTTTGCACTTAATTTAATTTATTATCTTCTGTAAAAACAACAACAATATAAAGTAATTGGTTAATACAGAATTTATTTTAGTTCGATTGTGTAGGAAGCTATTATAATAAACTTACAGAAACACATTCGAATCCGTTCCAAGAACCAATCAGTACTGAGCTACGAGTTTAAAGTTTCTTGCTCAAGGAAACAACGACTTGCCCCTGACTGGATTTGAACCCATGCGGCTAGCGATCATTAAATTACTAGTTCGACGCGTAAACAACTCGCCCATGCCGCCACATTCGGCCATGCTGCCACTTAAATATTACGTATTTGGTTTATACAGAATTTATTTTAGTTCGATTGTGTAGGAAGCTGTATGCTTAAAGGCACACTTTCGAATCCGTTCCTGGAACCAACCGTTACTGAGCAATGAGTGTCAAGTTTCTTGCTCGACTTGCCACTGACGGAGTTTGCACCCATGCGATCATGAGATTACTAGTCCGACGCGTTAACCACTCGGCCATGCCGCCACATATAAAATATATAAATATTACGTTTTTAAAGAACGATTAC